CACTTACACTTGTTGCCTCAGAGTCGACAAGAAATATCGTTGTTTTTTTTGTTTTTTTTTTTTTTTTTTTTGTGTGTGTGTGTGTGTGAGTTTGCTGATATGGTGACTGAATTGACTATTGTTATTTTGAAGGACAGAGACCAGAAGAAATAAACAAGAGGAAAACAAAGGGACGTCTTTGAACCAAGTACATGATCTGATTTCAGCCAGCCAAAGCAGCTTACCCTCCACTCCCTCTCCCCTTCCCCCATCTCTTCCTCTCACCTTTCCCAATCCCTTCCTCTCACCTTCCCCCGCCTCTCCCTCTCACCTTCTCTACCTCGTGTTGTGGCTCCTCTGAACTACTCCCCCCCAATCCTCACCTTCGCCTCCTTCATTCTCTCCTTCTCCACCTCACTCCGCCTCCTCCTCTCCTCCACCTGCCTCCTTGCCGCCTCAACCCCAGCCTTCTCCCCTTCCACTCGTGCCAACTCGTCCGCAACCCTCCGCCTCTCCTCCTCGATTTCCTTTGCTTCTCTCTCCATCTCCTCCCTCTCCGCCTGCAGCTTCCCCCTCTCGCGCTCCATCCTCGCCTTTTCCTCCTTGAGGGATGCCTTCAGCTGCCGAATCTCCCGCGTCTTCTTCTGCTCCTCATCCATCACTTGTTCTGCAACCTCTTTTGCTAGCGCCATGCCGCGGCGGAGTTCTGCCGCCTCCTCCTGAGAAGGGAGTTGGCGAGTGGGAGGGAGGTCAGGGGTGGAAAGGTGTGTGGGGAATCTCCCGAGTCTTCTTCTGCTCCTCATCCATCACTTGTTCAGCAACCTCTTTCGCTAGCGCCATGCCACGGCGTAATTCTTCAGCTTCCCCCTGTGGGTGGCAAGGGCAAGCGGAGGTTCCAACAGGGAAAGGGGAGGGGCGCACTAGGCGAGGGCTCCTTCAGCTGCCGAGTCGACTTTTGAGTCAACTCAAAAGCAGAGTCGACTCAAAAGCAGAGTCAACTCAAAAGCAGAGTCAACTCAAAAGCAGAGTCAACTCAAAAGCAGAGTCGACTCAAAAGCAGAGTCGACTCAAAAGTCAACTCAGCAGGTGAAGGAGCCCTCGCCTAGTGCGCCCCTCCCCTTTCCCCTTTCCTCGACTCACAGCAGGCGAGGGCTCCTTTCAGCTGCCGAATCTTCCGTGTCTTCTTCTGCTCCTCATCCATCTCTTGTTCTGCCACCTCTTTTGCCAGAACAAGCGGTGGCATGCCTAGGCGTAACTCCGCGTCTTCCTCCTGCTTTCTCATGCTCCTTTTGTTCCTCGTGCATTTCTTTCTCGCTCTATTCTCGTGCGTCTTCTGCTAGACTGCTGCCTCACCCTCCCACTCACCCACTCTCATGGCGAGTGAGGTTTTGGGTTGGTAAGTTCACTTCTTCCCACTCTCTTACTCACCCACTCTCCGATTCACCAACTCTCCCACCTCTCCCACACACCCATTCTCCCACTCGCACACTCTCCACCCGACCGTCGCCCATCACCTCACCAACCCATCCAACCACACCACCCCACCCACTCACTCTCCCACCCACTCACTCTCCGACCCACTCACTCTACCACCCACTCACCCTGAGTCGAGCCGTCTCCTCGACCTGTGCGTCGCCCATCACCTCACCAACCCATCCAACTACACATCTCATCCACTCACCCTCAGTCGAGCCGTCTCCTCCACCTATCCGTCGCCTATCAACGCTTGGAGCCCGCGCCCACTCACTCGCTCATTCTCCTTCCTTCCCACTCACTCACCCACCCACCCACCCACCAACCCATTCACTCACCCTCAGTCGAGCCATCCCCTCCACCTGTCCGTCGCCCATCACCCTTTAAAGCCCCGCGTCCACTCTCTCACCCCACCCACCCACCCACTCACTCACCCATTCACCCACCCATCCCCACACTCACCCTCAGCCGAGCCATCTCCTCCACCTGTCCATCGCCCATCGCCCCGCCCACCTCCGTGGCCTGCCGCACCGCCGCCACCTCAGCCTCGTGCGCCGCCTCCAGCTCAGCAAGCTTGCGCTCGTACGCGCGTGCCACGTCAGCAACAGCCTGCTCCACCAGCTCGGCGCGCTGCCGCTTCTCCTCCTGCCATGCCTCCTCCAACTGCCTTGCCTTCTCCTCTATCTCCTCCCTCTCCTCCCTCTCCTTCCTCTCACTTTCCTCCCACTCCTGCTCCTTCTCCTTTTCTTCCCTCTCCCTCTGCTCCCTCTCCGCCTTAGCCGTCTCTGCTGCAGCAACTTCTGCCTTCCGTCTCACCTCTTCCTGCTCCTCCTCCTCCCTCTTCCTCTTTTCCTCCTCCTCTCGCTTCTCCTTCTCCTCCGCCTCCGCACGCACCCTAGCCGCTTCCTCCTTCTTCCTCTCCTCTTCCTCCACCTTCCTCCTCTCCTCCTCTTCCTCCCTCTTCCTCACTTCCTCCTCCTTCCTTTTCACCTCCGCCGCAACTCTCTCCCTCTCCACCTTTTCCGCTTCCTCCCTCCTCCTCTCCTCCTCTCTCTTCCTCGCCTCCTCCCTCTCCCTTATTTCCATCTCCACCAGTCGCTGCCGGACCGCCTCCTCCTCCTCCACCCGCCCCTCCAGCACCCCTTCAACCGTCGGCACCGTCACCAGCGCCGCAGCCTCCGCGGGAGTCACGGCAACGACGGAAACGGCAGCAGCGGCAGCGGGAGAAGCAGCAGCAGGAGCAGCAGCGGCAGCAGAAGCAGCAGGAGTCTTTCGGAACAGGTTTCCAACAGCAGAGAACACGACCCGGAGCAGACCGAATATGAACCTTAAAACGAGGGTGATTGCAGCGAGGGAGAGCACGGCGGCGGACCAGAGCAAGGCTAGGGAGAGCTCTTTGGGTATCTTATTCTTAACCGCCCACGCGTCGACTCTCCGCACGACTGGCGCCGACTCCACCGACTTGACGAACTTCTGAGCCATGGCGGTCGCATTTGCCGCCGCGTTTGCCGCCGTGTTGGACGCTGTGTTAGCCGCCGCGTTTTGCGCGGGTTTGCTGCTGCTCGCGCCGCCGCTGGTTTTGCTGCCACCGCCGGCGGCCATGCTGACGGAGGTGCCGCGAGAGGCGGCGCGTTTGTCGACGGAAAGACCGCGGCTTTTTGGTCTCGCATGAAGCTCTTGCTGACGTCGCTGCTCCTGAAGCAGCTTCTCGCAGGGCTGACACGTGTTATCCTGCGCAACGGTGCAGGTTTGACAAAAATCATGCGTGTTATGACGACCTCGTTTGCGTTTCAAAAATAAGTAGTATCTCCCAAAAAAAAAAAAAACAACAACAACAACAACAAAAGAGAAGGATAACAGGTGCTTCTAAGAAGCAAGCAAATAGCATCAGGGGCACACGCATCTGTACCTGTTGGTTCATTTAACGTCAGTCCTGGGGTTTCTCAAAACGTGACGCAAGTCGTTCTCACCGCGCATTGGATGTCAACCAATGAGCACGCGCTAACAATACACGTGTGCCGCTCAGACTCTTATCGGATAACATTATTTGCCGGCGATTCGTAACATCATTCGCACGCCGGTGCGAGGCTTCCAGGTGTACCTTAAAGTGTCGCGAATGCTGTCGCGAGAGGCTCCCTTGCCGCCTCACGCTGGGCGAGAACGACGGGCTGGACGGCACGGAGCACAGGCGAACCGGGAGCGACACGGCCGCCATGGCTGACGCGAGCGAGAAACGATAAAGAGAAAGAGCGCGGGAAAGGTCGGCAATGAGCGACGCGACTTGCGGGGTGGTGAAAGCAACAAGGCTTAGGACAAGAAATTCGTAAACTGACTGGTTTGCAGCAGCTTGTCTAGTGAGATGACAGTGATGTGAGGGGCGTAATCTCAGAAATCTTCGAGCATGATAGAAAATGAGACGACAGTGGACCAGAGTGACAACAAGGTTACGGACGTGTTCCGTCGGGAATCTCTAGGTTCGAGAAGCAGAACCAGGGATGTTCAGCAAAAGTCTCAAATCATGTGGCTCCTCAAACACCGAACAAAGGCATCGCTGAAGGGAGTTTTTGGCTCTCGGTGTGAATGAAACGTCCCCGTTTTGAAAAGACGTCTCGGTGCATCAGTGTTTTGCAGTAATATTGAAAATGGACCCTCGGCTCATTGTACTTTCCCCGCTGATGCTGCTTATCTGCCACGTCGGACTGGATCATTAGCGACCCGAAATTGTAGGATGGAAACATCTTCGATATCAACGCACCAGCTTTGCGAAAAATGTAGGCTAAGCCATGTGGCTATGAAAATGTGGGTTTATATCTGTTACGGATGAATCATTTTCACGGAAATACAACCGCAGTTTAGAGAATCGTTTTTGGGGAAGCCCAGCCATTCTCCGATTATTCTAATATTCCTTTGTCGCTCCATCTAAGGACAACGGTCTGCGCATCTCGATTGCTTTGTTTCCCGTCTCGACTCCGAATTCGCGCTTCAACGGAAGACTAGACATCTGGATTTGTGAAAGATTTTCTCGGTCTTTCGACGGCATCTCGTTTGCCGCATCTCTTCTTCCTCAGACGAACCGCCATCCCTCCTCTTCCCGAACCATGGTGCGCCTATTCCCCTCTTTTTTTGCAAATTCACCCTTTCACTAAACGCTCTCTAAACAACGACAAGTCGTGACCACACGTAGCGACGATCGAGACAGTTTAACCTAGATTCTCACGTACAATACCGTAACGGCACCTCATCGTTCCCATTGACCCGCCCCACCCCTCCACAGACCTTTCCCCCTCCCTCCCCTGCCCCTTCCATTCCATCTCCCTCCCGCCTCTCCTTATGGTTACCCAATCATCGCCCACGTTTCTGTTCCCCTCGCCTCTCATTCTGGTATCCCGCCCGTCGTCCGCGTTATTCTCTGCCCCGTTTGTGGCATTCGAGTCCAAAGAAGCAGTGCTGGGCCTAGCGAGGCTGGTGGACTCGTTTTTTAGGCGCCTCAAACACAGAATCCCCGTTATGCTCTCCCCGTTGTGCTCATACTCTCCCCCGTTACGCGTATGCATGCCCTGCCCCGTTTGTGGCAGTCGGGTCGCAAGGAAACAGTACTGGACCTAGCGAGGCTGGTGGATAAGGGCGTGTGTGTGAAGCTCAACGGGGGACGACAAGGTGATTATAGGGGCGTGTGCGTGAAGATCAAGGTGATGATAACCGGGGACCACGTGGCAGGAACTGACAGGCTAACTGGCTGGCTGGCCGGCTGGGTAATTGGTTCCGTTCCCAAAGAATCTCCCCATCTCCTTCTCCTGCTCTCAGAGGTTCCCAGCAACTCTCATAATCTCATTGCAACTGTCTCCATATTAACTGCCCCGACACCCTTTGCCAGCCGTCCCCTACCTTTCTCTCTCTTCCCCCCTCCTCAACCTACCTCTTCCCCCCACCCCTCGCCTCCCCGTTCTCCCCCCTTTCCCCCCGGCACGGCACCAGTGATGGGCACGTTGAAGGGGTACGACCAGCTGATCAACCTCGTGTTGGATGAGGCTCGTCCCCTCTCCTCTCCTCCCCTGACGCCCCCACCTCCACACCCCCCCCCTCCCTTCCTACACCACCAGTGATGGGCACGTTGAAAGGGTACGACCAGCTGATCAACCTCGTGCTGGATGAGGCGGTGGAGTATGAGCGAGGTAGGTGAGACGAGAACGGAGGGATGGGATAACGGGGGGGGTGGAAGGGCGGGTGTGAGTGGGGAGAGGGCCTGGGCCGATTGGTGGGAGAAGGGTGGAGCAGAGGGGAAGGAACGACGGGAGGAGGGACTGTTGTGGTTGTGCAACTGATTGTTGAAGGGGTATGAAACAGCTGAATGCCATGGATACTGCAGTGGAGTATGAGAGAGCTGCAATAGGAAAGGTTGGGATGAATTGAGCGTGGTTTGAGAGATGGTGGAGGGCGGAGCGGCGTGGAAGTGGTACTAAATGAGGCAGCTGAGTGTGGGGGAGGGGCCAGAAGAGGCGGGTGGGGATTGTAAAGGCGGTTGTGGGATGCAATTTCATGCACGGAAGTGGAGGAAGACAAGGTGTGCTTGGTCTTTCAGGTGGGGAAGTGTGGTTACCGTGAACGAGATCTGTTTGGGTGGGATGAACACATGCACCAGGGCAAGAGGGTAACAGAGCAAGGTGCAAGCATAGGTATCGTGGGGTGCCAGAGGGGCGAGAGGATGGTGAGATATGGATGTGCATGTAGCCTAGGGCTTGTGCTCTGAGTTGCAGTGAGCAAGCAACCTGAGAAATTTCTGATACAGGGTTTTCTTCTGTGGGAAGGTGACCTGTTTGGGATTTTTCTTCTGTGTTGCTTATCCTTCCCTGTTAACGCTCTTCCTGATCTCTGGTCTCCGTTGTCCTCGTTGTTGCATCACCCGCTACAGATCCAGAGGATCCCCTACGTCTGACCGAGCAGACACGACCGCTAGGGCTCATTGTAAGCTCGCTCCGTGTTTCTGTACATGCTGCAATCCTGCACCCCTTGCTTTTGTTGTTTATCCATTTGTGCAGCTTCTTTTGCATGTCATCCCCCTCTCCTTGTGCTGTGCATTATGTTGCATGCCACCCCCTTCAAGAAGTAGCGGTCTATATCTTCCTTAACCTTCCTCTTCCTCACGACCTCACCCTCTCGTCAAACTACCCACCTCTTGCTGTTGCACAGGTATGCAGAGGAACAGCGGTGATGCTGATAGCTCCAACAGATGGCACCGAGGAAATAGCCAATCCTTTCTTGCAACAAGAGACCTCTTGAGATACATTTTGAAACACTGTTGATTGTTTCTGTTGTTTGACGTACTATTTCTCGTTGTGTTCTAGGACCAGCATTGCAGTTCCTATTTCCGTGGACTAGCGCTCTCCGCGCTGTCTTTCTCCGGTATTTTTCCCAGATCAGCGGAATCCCCGAGGTCGAATTTTCCCGCCATGTCCACGTCACAGCTACCGACTGTCATTTCATGGGGAACGAAGCAACCTCGAGGTGGTTTCGGGTGGACAAAACACAACCAGGCAAATCCAACTTATCTCCACCGTCCATATTCCCAATCTCACCTAGATGTTCTCGAAGGATTACAGCTGTAGCACCCCTGTTTTCCCTCCAGAAACAGCAATGGTTTCAATTTCATCACCAGAGCTCGAACCAGTGGCACTGTTTATTTCTGAGATCTGAAACCATTTCCGAGATGCACAACACAAAGCAGGACAAAGCCAGCCTAAGAGGCTGAAACTTCCTTCCTACCACTGTGGGAGTTGTGCTTGTCTTTTTTGAAGCAACTGAACACACATCGACTTCCTTTATTTTATTAGACGTAGCACTGGGTAAGGTGATACCACCTTCTGAAAAAGGTCGAGAGATTCGCTGTAGAGAGCATAGGCGTATCACGGTAAGACCGAGGGACTAATTGCCATGAGTCCCAACGTCGCCACAGCAATGCAGACGAGCGTTTCAAACGGCATGGACGGATCAGATCCTAAAAGCACCGTTGTCCGGCGAGCTGTTTCTCAGCCTGCTCAGAACGAGTATAAAGATGAGTTAAGATACACGCCGGAGGATGGGAAAGACGAGGCGGAGCTGTCGAAGCTTCTAGAAAAGGATGGCATGGAGATCCACGATATGGTGAAGCCACGGCCAATGCGTCTATCGGATCTTCTCATCGTCTACTGCTACCACATGATTCCGTTCACACTCATGCCTATCGTCAACACCATCCTCAACTACTACCTTGTATACCAGTAAGTCTTCCAATGATTCCTGTGACTATGCTCCCCCCCCTTTCACACCGATCTTCATACCGCCACATCCTCAACGCATACTCTTTGCCTTGCCTTCTCTTCTGTTCACAAGTATGTTTGCCGTCAACACCGTCCTCAAGTTCTTCCTTGTTTACCAGTATGTTTTCTAATGTTATCCGCCACTTTAATCTCCTTCTCACACCCATTACCATCATCTTCGCCATTATCTCAACCATTATCTACACCATGATCCACACCATCGTATACGCAACACTCATCCTCATCGACCACATTGTCTACCGATTAGCTCATGTCATCCCAACTACCAAAGCCTTCCTATAACCTTCACACAGTATCCACGTGCTTGAACATTTCGTTCTCCGAGCTTTTTCTCTGTGACTTCACTTTCTCCCTCCCTTCAAACGTTTGCGTTGTGTATAACGTTCTCGTGCATTTCTCAAAGTCTGTAACCCTGCTGACACTACCACTGTCGCGGCGCACTGAAACGGTTCTTGCAGGATGCTGGGTTGGTGGGGTCCACTTATAGCAACGGTCGTTCTCTTCATCCTCGCGGTCTGCCCGCCCTTCTACAATCGCTCCATTCGCCGTCGCCTCGTTGTAAGTGCGGAGCTTGAATTATGCGAAGGAGATGTTTTTGCGTTTGAAATTTTCACATGAAAAACAAAGGGTTACAAATGAGATACTTCTGGAGAGACGTCACCGCTGCGTCCATCTTTTTGGTCATGAGTGAGCCATGGCGACTAGGTGGTAAGTTCAACAGTGCCATAGCTTCCATCCCTTTAGCACTTGAGCTACCTCTAAGTCTTTAACGCCTGCGGGCGTACACGGGTGATACAATCCCGTTTTACTCACACCCTGCAGCCTCTAAATAAGGTCCCGTTGTGCCCCGTGGTCTGGGGCACGGGACGTTCTACTGTTATTGATATTGTTGACCTTCGCGACGTTCCACAAGCAATTCGACGACTAGTAATTCATGAAGCGGGTGCGCTACATTGCCCCCGAGGACCTCATCTCCAATAGTACACCCTTCGTAATTAACTCATTTATTGTCCCTTTCGTCCGCCCGTCACCAGTTCCTGTACGAGGCTCTGGCGTATTACATGAAGCGGGTGCGCTACATCGCACCCAAGGACCTCATCCCCGATAGTGCATACATCTTCGCGTTCCATCCACACGGCCGGATGTTCTACACCAACACTATGATGATCCAGACCAACTACGAATGGAGAAAAAACTTCTGCCCCAAAGGTGTGTAAAAATTCTTTATTTTCTTACTTCGAGTGCCCTACTACACGGGAATTCTGTCCCTGCGTATGCCTGAAATATTAGTCCCTGCAATTCCAAAACGCATTTCTTGCCTTGCATCACGAACATTCCCCCGCCCTCAGGTGACTTCTTTGCCGGGGCAGCAGCGGGGTTCTACTCGGTGCCTGTGCTGCGCAACCTGCTGTACCTCCTGGGGACCATGCCTGCCAGTGAATCAAACATCCGCAGGGAGCTGCGGAAGAAGAACCACGTGAGTTGTTGAGCCGTTGAGTGAGTGAGGTAGGGTTCACATAGCAACTTATGGCATCTACCTACCTGCTGTACCTGCTGGGGACTATGCCTGCCAGCGAATCGACCATCCGGAGGGAGCTGAGGAAGAAGAACCACGTGAGTTGTCATTTGCCGAGCCATTGCTTGAGAGGGGTGAGGCTTGCATGGGGGCATGTGCTGCCAACCTGCTGTACCTGCTGGAGGCTCACAACTGGATGAGAGCGGTGAGGAAGAAGTACCACGTGAGTTGTTGAGGTGTTGGATGAGAGTGGAGAGGCTCACAGCTGGAGCTGAGGAAGAAGAATTACGTCAGTTGTGGAACTAGCTGTCATGAATCCAGCATGCCGTCAATGGGTGCCGGTGACACGCGATGTATGCTTGTTGTACCTCCCTATGTGGGTAATCGCCAGAAGAAGTGCATCCTCTGTCATTCAAAAACACTCCAATCCTCTTGTACTAATCCCCATCTTGAACTAATCCGCGTCTTGAACTGATCCCTTGTGTGTACTGCTCTGCAGATGGCCATTGTGATCGGGGGCCTAAAGGAGGTGTGCCTTGGCACAACTTCCCACACCGACAAGCTCTATTTGATGAGGAGGTATGAAACAGTTTACATAAGCGGTACTCATTCACGCTGGTGGTTCGAGAAATGTTGGTGAAAATGGTTGGGTGATGAGTTACGTTTGTAGATCTAGTTGTGGGAAGAAGGGTTGGGAGAACAAGGAAGACAACGAAGCAGGAAGGCCAAAAAGCGCGTGGACGATAATGCTGAGGATTGTGGCGATTTTTGATGCGCCTAAAAAAACTGAGACGATTTTTGAGGCGCCTCAAAAATAGAAGCAGGAAGGCAAAAAGCGCGTGGACGATCATGCTGAGGATTGAGGCCTGGGGGGGCGAGTCTTAGGCTTTGCTCTTCATGTTGTTGTGTTCCTTGCGTTGCCGGTGTACAATAGGGTTACCCATATTCCCTTCCGTTTGTGCTGATTCTGGTTGGTTGGTTGGTTTGTGTGTGGTGCTGGTGTGGTGGGGCTAACAGGAAGGGGTTTGCGCGCATAGCAGTGCAGGAGAAGGTGGGAGTCATTCCCATCTACTGTTTCAATGAGAACCAGGTGTGTATGTGTGTCACAGGCCATGCAGTGCACGATCTGGAATGTAGGGGCCATGATGGGATGTACCCCCTTCTCATCATGATGGGATGCACCCCCTTCTCATCATGATGGGATGCACACCCTTCTCATCATGATGGGATGCACCCCATAAATTTCCCACCTTCTCACACCCCTTTCTCACACCCCTTTCCTAAATACCACACCCCCACCATCTCCCGTCCTTCCATGCACTCCCTGTCTTTCCTGCTTATGCATTCCTGCAACCATGACTCTTGCTCTTCCCTAAAGTCCTTGAAAACGGTGACTGTCGAGTATTCTCTTTGGTTCTCACCATCGAGCCCGTGCGCGCTCATAATGCATCTCTCGAGTTTTGAGCCGCCTCAAAAGTCGTCTTTGTTTCCCATTCTCGCTATCTAGCCCGTGCCTGCTCATAATGCATCTCGCGAGCTCTTCAAGCATGATCCTGCACGCTTCTTTCATTTTTTTCGGGAAGTCGACCACAGCAAACACCCTATTCTCACCGCCCACCAAATGCATTTTCCTGGTGTTCTCCTCCCGCATCCCCATCAGCTCTTCAAGCACGACCTAGTGCGATCCCTTAGTTCTGGGAGAAGGTCAACGCCCACAGGCACTCCTTTCTTACACCCCACTGAACGCATCTCTATTCCTTGCTGCTCCCACATCCCCCCATCAGCTCTTCAAGCACGACCCAGTGTGGTTCCTTCAGTTCTGGGAGAAGGTGAACCGCCACGTCAACATTGGAGTGCCCTTCATGCGTGGGGCCTGGAACCTCACCCTGCCCTTCAGACGGTAAGCACATGGGAGAAAACATGGAGTGCCCTTCATGGAGTGGGGCCTGCAAGAAAACATGGGATCTTTGTGAACACTAGGGGTGGGCTTCTTCACAACATATATTCGCAGTTGTGCCATAAGATTATGGATATGTTAGCTAAATAAGAATTACCTCTCACCCCCCCCAACCCCTCCCCTCCCACCCCCACCCTTTCCTCCTCCCCTCCCCCCCTCAAATTCATTCCTTTCCCGTTTCCTCCTACTCAGGGATCTCTTGGTGGTTGTGGGCAAGCCACTTTTCCCCGAGGAGGGAGAGTCAGTGGACGATTTTCATGCTCGCTACGTCACTGCTATCACTCAACTCTTCCATAAATATGTTGGGCTGTCAGCACAACCCAATCAGAAGTTGGTCATCGTCTAAAGTAGCAAGCACTGGACATGGTGTTGCGGTCTTAAATTATATGGTTCAGTTTCCTGCTTGCTTAGTTGCTCAGTGTGAGTTAGTGTAGCAAAATCAAGGCGGAGCAGATGGTATGCAGTCAAGCAGCTTCCATTTAGGATGGTTTTTAAATTCACATTTCCTGTAAGGAGTAGCTGTATACTGCGCTCCAGTAATCGGGTTGCATTCCTGTTTGTCCTTTATTGAAGTGTCAATAGCGGGATCAGAGGATCTGATTCCACGTGGTTTTTCACTTTTACAGCGAGTCTTGGTTGCCCGCGTGGAGATCGTTTGTAATTCTACAGCCGATGATTGGTTGAACTTCGTTACCACAAGGCGCGCGTGTTTGCTGTCCAGTGTTCAGGCATTTCAAATGTCCGAACCATCCAATCCGACCAAATTCCAGAAATTTCACGAATGCTCGAAACTGCCCGTATTCTGGAAACATGTGGAAGTTCACCAACACAACTACTCTCACAAACATTTTGTAAACTTGTTTTCGTTCATTTCGACATTCCCAAGCGCCTAACAACGCGTAACGCAAATCCCCAGGGGTCACAATCTCAAGGCCCGTGCATTCGCTTCCATTCGGCATATCCCTTCCCGCTCCTCTCCCATCTTGCTCAAAACCAGTTTTCGACACAAGCAAGGCCAAGCAAGACTAGCAAGGCCAGCTTCCCATCTTCGTTCATTCGTTCTTGGTCCACTCCACAACATCCGCTTTAGCTGCGTCACCAAAGCGGGTGATTCTCCGACTTGGAATATTTTTGGGAGCTACTTCGAAACAGCTAAAGAGCCAGAAATCTAGAATACGTTACTTTTTTTCTAGTATGAGCATGGCGGAGCGTCTAGGATCAGCCATGCTACTCCAACCAAATACCTCGTTCGCTCAGCAGCACGTAAAGTATCCCAAAATCCACACGTCGTCCTCACCTCCTTCCGCGCTGCACACTTCTTTTCTCCCGCCTTCTCGAATCCCATCCCTGGCTTTCGCGTCCAGCCCGGACCCCCTGTCACAAACTCTTGTCCCAAAATATCCTCCTAGAATCCCGCGCAAAATCCACAAGCGTGGTCGTTCTGGCCAGAGGAGAAGCGTACCGATCGCGGCGGCGGGAGGAGGGGCGGGTTTGGCGGGGGAGCAGGGGCAGGGTCAGGAAAGGGGCGAAGGAGGACCGTCCGATTTCCCTCTGGTGCCGTCGGGCAGGATGATGGTTCCCGTGATGAAGAAAGGCTACGGCGCGTTTGGCGGGGCCACTCTGGAGAAGTCGAAGCTCGACCTCTCATTCTCCACCGCCAAAACCGGCGCGCAGGTGAAGCACTAGATAGGCGGGCCAACCACTTATCATCCCCACTCCCCCTCTCATCCTTCCCACCTAAGCTGTTATCTGTGATAAAATTAAAAATCTGGTTCTTAGGCGCCTCAAAAACAGACTTCCGACCTAATTTGCTCTTTGGTATTAGAATAAAAGTCTTGTGCGACGTTCTGAACGAAACCACCACGCTTTGAACCTTGCATTCCTTCTTCCCAGATTGAGCTCGGGGGAGGCGGCGGCAACATCGGTAAAGGAATCGGGCACGGGGGCGGCGACGGCGGCGACGACGGGGGCGATGACGACGACTATTTCGGCGAGGACGACGGCGACGACGGCGACGACGACGGGTTCATTCGCCGCGCGGTCGTGGCGGAGGTGTTTGATCGCGCGTCGGTGCAGGCGGTGCTGGAGGAGTGGTTTCGAACCATGGCGGACCTTCCCGCTGGCATACGACGGGCTGTGGAGATGGTGAGTGGCTGATTGCGGTTGTGAGGGGTGATGAATGGTGGTGAGTGGTGGAGGAGCAGGGAGGTGTTTGACCGCGCGTCCGTGCAGGCCGTGTTGGAGGAGTGGTTTCGAACCATGGCGGACCTGCCTGCTGGAATACGAAGGGCTGTTGAGCTGGTGAGTGCTGTTTGCGGTTTTGAGCGGTGATGGATGGTGGTGAGTGGTAACGTATGGTGGAAGAACGGGGAGGTGTTTGACCGCGCGTCCGTGCAGGCGGTGCTGGAGGAGTGGTTTCGAACCATGGCGGACCTGCCTGCTGGGATTCGGCGGGCTGTGGAGCCGGTGAGTGGTGACGAGTGGTGGTGAGTGGTGGAGAGCGTGGAGATTTCAGCGCAGACGGCGCGGCTCATGAGCATGGGCGCATGACCCACCGAACAGTCAAGAGCACCCCCTTCCCCCATTCTTCCCGCACCTTCTTCACCCCCTTTTCCTTCAACCCCTCTTTCCCCCCCTTTTTCCCCCTCTTACCCTGGTTTCCCCCAGGGCTTGGTGAGTTCAGCGCAGGTGGCGCGGCTGATGAGCATGGACGCACGACCCACCATTGCCAGACTCATCTCCCGCCTCGCCCCTCCTGACCTCTCCCGCGCCTTCATTGGCAGGTGGGTGTGGTGGGAATATGGTACGTGTGGTGGGGATGTGGTGAGTCTGTGAGTTTTTTTTGTGTGTGTGTGTGTGTGTGTGTGTGTGTGCGTGTGTGTGTGTGTGTGTGTGTGTGAGTGTGAGCATGTGTGTGTGTGTATGTGTGTGTGAGCATGTCTGTATGTGTGTGAGCATGTGTGTGTGTGTGTGTGTGTGTGTTTCAGCGCAAATCACCTCGCTTCCTCCACAAACAACTAACACTTCACGTACACTTCACCCCACTTCCCCCCTCCCTCCCACATCCTTCCACACTCCCCCACACCCTACTCAACCGCTCAGAATGATGGCAGACCCAGCCTTCCTCTTCAAGCTCGCACTCGAGCAAGCGGCCACCGTCGCCACAGCAGTGCGTTGGGAAGTGCAGCAGCGGCGCGGGCAGCAGAACGGGCAGCTGAACGGGCAGGACGGGCAGGGCGTGAAGTCAAAACTTGTCAAAGAATGGCCCCTAGCCCTGACCAACGTCCTCACTCTCTCCCTCTGCAACCTCGCACTCGTATGGTGCCTCTCCCCCTCTCGATCCTACGGCTCTACTGCCACCAATGAGTTGCAGATGGCGCTGCAAAAACTGCCCAATAATGTTTTCGATCGCAGCTACGCGCTCCGGGAATTTAAGCTGCCCGAGCGGGTGGGAAGTTTCTTCTTCAACGCTGCCCGGCTGAGCTTGATTGGCTCAGCAGTGGGTGCTGCTGGTGGGGAAGCTTCAAATACTATACTGAAAGTGATGCAAGGGAGGAAGAAAGCAGGAGCAGGAGCGTCACAAGAGAAAGAGGGAGCATCTTCCAGAGGGAGTGGGGAGGCGGATCAGTATCAACCATCTGTAGCGGTGCCATCGCCAGCAAAGTCGGCTGTAGCATTTGGTGCTTTCACGGGACTCTCCGGGAACCTTCGGTACCAGCTGCTGTATGGGGCGGACAGGGTGTTACAGGAGCATTTCAACCATATCCCTGTGGCCATCCTCGGCACCACTGCCCTGAGGTGAGTCTTTGGGAGAGCTCAACATTACGATAATTGACTCCCTTGCCAAATCCCTGTAGCCACAGCTGCTGTATGGGGCGGACAGGGTGCTGCAGGAGCGTTTCACCCACTTCCCCGTGGCCATCCGCGCCACCACTGCCTTGCGAGACGGCGTGAGAGCCTGCCCGCGATTGTATGCAGCTAGTTGTGTCCCATCCCATGCCATTCTCGGCACCACTGCTCTGAGACTCAAAATTCACCCCGCTATTGTATGAAGCTAGTTGTGTGCCATGCCATGCCATGCCATTCTTGGCACCACTGCTCTGAGGTGAGACATTGGGAGAGCTGATTACTGAATGGGCTCGCTGTGATTATATTCGCTGAGGAGCATTTCAACTACGTCCTGATACCCACCCTTGGTACCACGGATCTGAGTGAGACCGGATCTGAGTGAGACCGGATCTGAGTGAGACCTTGTGACAGCTGGTTTTTTAGCCGATTCTTATGCTGCCTTTTTGTCCTAACATGCGTCATGCTTTCCCGAACCTCTTCCTCAGGGTCGGCAACATACTGCTGGGGGAGCCATCGCGCCTCTCCTGGCTCGGGCTGGACAGCGAATCTGTGCAGCAGGCACAGGCAGAGCACCGAGCCTACCACCGACCCTCGCTCGCAGGCTCGGGGAAGAGGCTCGGCAGTAAGCCCACGTTCTCATCCCTACTTCAATTCCTCAGGTTCGGGGGCAGTAAGAGGAGAGTCAAAGGGACGGTGGGGGCAAAGCGACTTGGTGTGAGGAAAGTGGCTGGGAAAGGGGAAGGGGAGGGAAAGGGTGGTGGTGAAAGTGGAGCGGAGAAGGTGGGGGCTGAGCGGGTGGTTAAGAGGAAGGTGAAACGGAAGGTTGCCATGGCACAGTAGGGCGTGTGTGGAGGGGCTTGTGTATGGGCGAGTGCGTGTTGCATAGTGTACAGATGAGGGGGGGTGCGCGGGGGAGAAGCAAGTTTATGATCAGCAAAGGACCAGCCAGAAGGTGCAGGCGAAGTGGGTGGTTAAGAGGAGAGTGCAGTGGAGGGTTGCTGCGGTACATTTGAGTCGACTCAAAAGTTAGCTCGGTACAGTAGGTCATGTTTGGAGGGGCTTGTGTATGGACCTGTTGCACTGTTTACAGATGGAGGGGGGAAGGCGGGGGCTTACCAAATGGTTTGGAGGAAGGTGAAGCAGAGGTTTTCTGTGGAGCGGTAAATTGGAAGACCCTGTTGCACGATAGGCTCAGCAGAGTGCGTGAAGCAGGGTGACAGCAGTAGAGCGAAAGCAGCAGAGTGGAAGCAGTATTGGTGCGTTTGGGGGGGAAGGGGGACGAGAGGGCAGAGGGTGCAGGGCTGATATATTGTATCTGTATTGGACTGAAAGTGGGTGGATTTCGCTTCTCCCTTTAGCAGGTGTGTTCTCTCTGAATGCATACTGTGTACATGTGTGATACTACTGTTTGCCAATTAGTGAATACAAATAAGATACAGTTTGCCAGTGAATGTATATACAGTAAATGAGATATTACTGCATGGCAGTGGATGTGTACAACCTAGATTCTACAGTGTGCAAATTAGTCTATGCAGTTGATGTATACAATATGCAGGACTACAGGTCACCAATTCCTGTCATCACAAAACTTCCTCATCTCATCATCAGCCCAACTCACATTCACTGTGCCAGGTTTACCATATATGGATTCAGCCACAATCATGCTTCACATAAGTAAACAAGAGTTACAACATTAACACAAGAAGCTGGTTAGGGTTGGAAACATTGGAAACACATTCGATACATCAATGATTCAACTCTTGCATATGTTACAATGGCAAAGCATACATGTAACAGAACTAGTTTTTGCATCCAGAAATTTCTGGAAGCACTACCAACACATAACAATCCAAGGATGGCCTACTTATGTACACTAAATGATAGACCTATACCACTCTCTCCACCCTTCTAGGTAGAAAACTATCATGCAGTTACCTGCCCTCCTTTGTATACGATATACCAGCAGAAGTGTTTAGAGTCAGTCTGACCATCTACACCTAGCCTGCCTTATGCAGTTCCATCCCTGCTGTTCATGCTGTCCCAGCTGCTCCTGCCATCCCTAATGCACCTATCGTTCCTGCTGTTCCACCTATTTTTGCCCCTTACCAGTCAATCACGCCCGTCTTCCATCCGCCTGCTGCTCTTGCTTCTGCACCATCCTCTGCAGTCTAGAGCTGCGCTCTTCAAACGATGGCCTGCCTTCCACCTGATATTACGTATCCATCCTCCTGATTCCTCAGGTTCTCCATTAATTATCTACACTCGCCTTCCATCCATCTGCTGCTGCTCTTGTTCCTGTACCATCAACTTCAGTCTTGATGTGATCTCATCGAAAGATGGCCGCTCGTTAGGGCTGGGGGGAAAGAGAGAGAGTGAGGAGCAAGAGATATACAAGGGCGTGAGTAGATAGGCAAAGATCAAAGCAGTGCCTAACAACCAAGCAACTTCACCTGCCCCAGTTCCATCTGCTGCAGTCGCATCAGCCATTATTGCACCTTCCCGAGAAACTACCTCCCCAGCTGTACCTGCGTCAGCAGTCGGAGATGAGAAGACTCATAGTTGGGTCGATGGAGGGAGGCAGAGGCAGCTGTATGAGCCTGTCTCGAGAATCCCCATCACTCACTCCCACCTGTCCCAGTCACACCTGCCCCAGCCGTACCTGCGCCAGCAGTCGGAGATGAGAAGCCTCACAGTTGGATCGATGGAGGGAGGCGGAACTCACCTGCCCCAATCACACCTATCTATCGCACCCGCCCCAGTTACACATGCCCTAGTCGTTCCTGCGCCAGCAGTTGGAAATGAGAAGCCTCATGGCGGGGTCGATGGAGGGCGGCAGAGGCAGCTGTATGCTTCCTCTCTTGAAGATCCCCACTAATTACTCGCACGTGACCCAGTCATACCTTGCATAGACACACCTTCCCCAGCCATTCCTGCGCCAGCAGTCGGAGATGAGAAGCCTCATGGCGGAATCAATGGATGGCGGCAGAGGCAGCTGTTGCGCCAGGAAGCCCACAGCCCCCACCACCTGCCCCAGCACACCCACCCCAGTTGCATCCGCCCCAGTTGCACCTGCTGTAATCGTACCTGCGCCAGCACACCCACCCCAGTTGCACCCGCCCCAGTTGCACCTGCTGTAATCGTACCTGCGCCAGCAGTCGGAGATGAGAAGTCTCATGACTGGATCAATGGATGTCGGCAGAGGCAGCTGCTGCTCCAGAAAGCCCACAGCCCCCACCACCTGCATGGGGTTCATCCCGTCCCATGGCACCTGTCGCGTTGCCATCTCCCACAGGACCACTCCAAAGCTGTATACATCGGACCTGCATGGATGGGAATACATGGCATAGAGAATGGGAGATTAAGCAACAAGGAAAGAAGACCGAACAGGGCACACTGGCAAAGAGAATCGAGCAGAGTAACCATGCATCGACTTGCGGCGCGCGTGCGCAAGGGAGAAGAACCACCATACGACGACTCCCTTGCGTGGGGTGGGAGTCAAGAATGAATCATGCGACTCACTTTTCGTTGGAGGGCTCATTGCGAAGCACTTCTGGGGCCATCCACTGGGGCTGGTGGGGGGGAGTTCAGAGGGCGAGTGGTGGCAGGGGAGAGATGGAGAGACGGAGATGGAGAAGCCATGAGTGTAAGGGAACTGAGGTGTGATACGGAGAGGGAGGGCTCATTGCGAAGCACCTCTGGGGCCACCCACTGGGGCTGGTGGGGGGAGAGAGGGAGAGCATAGGAGCAGGACAGAGGGAGAGAGCGTGAGCAGGAGAGGAAAGAGAGTAGGGAGAGGTGAACTCAACAAGCCAACAGGGGACGTGCAAAAAGCCAAAATTCGAAAAACAAACACATTCGATCGAAAAGAGAAGCAAAGGAGAGACGAGTGGGACAGCACATGAGAAGCATGTATCAGAGCTAAAACGCCTTCCATGATACATGCGGAGGAAAGAAGGGGAAGAAAGTGAAACGCACTGTTCCGCGGCCTGAGCGAGCAGAGAGGTACGTTGCAAACTTCATCTTGCTCAGCCCAAAATCGCCCACCTGCAAACAGACAGGCAGGAGGGATAATAAATCTCAGTCCGGTCAGCTATAGAGAAAAGATGCCAGAACAGTGCACAGCATGGCAATGAATGGCAGGGAGGACGCAACTCATGCTCCCTCAGTGCACAGCATGGCAATGAATGGCAGGGAGGACGCAACTCATGCTCCCTCAGTGCACAGCATGGCAATGAATGGCAGGGAGGACGCAACTCATGCTCCCTCAGTGCACAGCATGGCAATGAATGGCAGGGAGGACGCAACTCATGCTCCCTCAGTGCACAGCATGGCAATGAATGGCAGGGAGGACGCAACTCATGCTCCCTCAGTGCACAGCATGGCAATGAATGGCAGGGAGGACGCAACTCATGCTCCCTCAGTGCACAGCATGGCAATGAATGGCAGGGAGGACGCAACTCATGCTCCCTCAGTGCACAGCATGGCAATGAATGGCAGGGAGGACGCAACTCATGCTCCCTCAGTGCACAGCATGGCAATGAATGGCAGGGAGGACGCAACTCATGCTCCCTCAGTGCACAGCATGGCAATGAATGGCAGGGAGGACGCAACTCATGCTCCCTCAGTGCACAGCATGGCAATGAATGGCAGGGAGGACGCAACTCATGCTCCCTCAGTGCACAGCATGGCAATGAATGGCAGGGAGGACGCAACTCATGCTCCCTCAGTGCACAGCATGGCAATGAATGGCAGGGAGGACGCAACTCATGCTCCCTCAGTGCACAGCATGGCAATGAATGGCAGGGAGGACGCAACTCATGCTCCCTCAGTGCACAGCATGGCAATGAATGGCAGGGAGGACGCAACTCATGCTCCCTCAGTGCACAGCATGGCAATGAATGGCAGGGAGGACGCAACTCATGCTCCCTCAGTGCACAGCATGGCAATGAATGGCAGGGAGGACGCAACTCATGCTTCCCTCAGTGCACAGCATGGCAATGAATGGCAGGGAGGACGCAACTCATGCTCCCTCAGTGCACAGCATGGCAATGAATGGCAGGGAGGACGCAACTCATGCTCCCTCAGTGCACAGCATGGCAATGAATGGCAGGGAGGACGCAACTCATGCTCCCTCAGTGCACAGCATGGCAATGAATGGCAGGGAGGACGCAACTCATGCTCCCTCAGTGCACAGCATGGCAATGAATGGCAGGGAGGACGCAACTCATGCTCCCTCAGTGCACAGCATGGCAATGAATGGCAGGGAGGACGCAACTCATGCTCCCTCAGTGCACAGCATGGCAATGAATGGCAGGGAGGACGCAACTCATGCTCCCTCAGTGCACAGCATGGCAATGAATGGCAGGGAGGACGCAACTCATGCTCCCTCAGTGCACAGCATGGCAATGAATGGCAGGGAGGACGCAACTCATGCTCCCTCAGTGCACAGCATGGCAATGAATGGCAGGGAGGACGCAACTCATGCTCCCTCAGTGCACAGCATGGCAATGAATGGCGGGGAGGACGCAACTCATGCTCCCTCAGTGCACAGCATGGCAATGAATGGCAGGGAGGACGCAACTCATGCTCCCTCAGTGCACAGCATGGCAATGAATGGCAGGGAGGACGCAACTCATGCTCCCTCAGTGCACAGCATGGCAATGAATGGCAGGGAGGACGCAACTCATGCTCCCTCAGTGCACAGCACTGCAGTGTGCTTGAACGTACGGCAGAGAAACATTCTCATGTGTGCCTTGTTTACACATGAATTCCCCAAACATACATTCTTGAAGCAACAGGAGGCATACCTTAGCGGTCTAGTTCCTGTCCACTAGAAGATTGGCGGACTTGAGATTGTGATGCATAACGTCTTATGAGGCTCTGCAAAAGAGTGAATAGCGCAGGGTGTACCTTAACAGTCCAGTTCCTGTCAACGAGCAGATTGGCGGACTTGAGATCATGATGCACTACAGGGGGCGAGCACTTGTGCAGATGATTCACTCCCCGAGCCTGAACGGGAGGACAGGAGGGGAGAAAAAGGGGAATAGGGGAGACAGGATAGGTAAGTCAATGCAGCGGAGGAGGAACTCATAGCAGCTTGTAAAGACAAACGCCAAGTAAAGACAAAGCATGCAACTCACCACGTCCAGTGCCATGCGCAGCAGTCTCAGGCGGGTGAGCCCAGCAGTGCGGAGGTGGAGCAGGCGGAAGAGGCTACCGCGGGGAAGAAATTCTGTCACGATGGCGAGATGGTCGAGAGATGCCACAGCTCCCATGAAGAGAAGAATATTGGGATGACGCAGCTTCTCCATTATGCGGATCTGAGCGGGAATGAAGGGGAAGAGCACGAGGAAGAAAATGAGTTTTTTTTTTTGCAGGCTATGACGGGTGAGAAATCTGCTTGGGCACAAGAGTAGGAGAATGCTGGGATGCTGCAGTGTGCGGGAGAGAGGACGCTGGGAGGAAAAAATGCCTGTACTGTAACAAGGTAAGACTTGCGTGCAAGACGCAATCAGACATTTCCTTTGAGAATTTAGACACGCAAGCTGCAATCGCGTACCTCTTTCTTGAAGTCGCGCATGAAATCACCACTGATGTCGTGCCGTGCAAACACCTTTTGAGGCGCCTCAAAAGTCGTCTCCTGTCTCGCGGTTTTTTGAGGCGCCTCAAAAGTCGTCTCCTGTCTCGCGGTTTTTTGAGGCGCCTCAAAAGTGATGAAATCACCACTGATGTCGTGCCGTGCAAACACCTTCACTGCCACGTCCTGCCATCGAGAGAGAGAGAGAGAATGGAACACAGGGAAACAGGAAGCGCAGGACAAAAGGAGACACATGAGAATACGAGACGAAGAAAAACAGGAGACATGAGGGGATAGGGACAGAACGAAATGCGGATTGGCATGAACAATGGACATGAAAAACGAATGTCGGACAGGAAAAAAGAATTTAGGAAGGGGAGATGAGAGGATCTAACGCGCCAGCTACAAATTCACTTACTGAGCCGTTCCAGGTGCCGTGATAGACCGTACCACACGCCCCTGCAAAGGTACACACACCACGAACGACACAGAAGAGGTGAGAGGAGGGTGCAAAGAGAGGAGGAAAAACGAGTTTCATTTCAATCAAGCCAAAGCACCATGTATGATGATATATGTGAATGCTGCATTATGCAGCAGCCATCAACTCACCGTGCCCCACCTCCTGCCCCAGCTGAATGTCCTCCCACCGAATCTCCCACCGCGCCACCCCGTCCTCCCAAAACCGCTCCCTCTCCTGCCTCTCCCTGTTGCCCTGCTCCCTCTCCACCCGCAACTCCCTCCCAGCGCCCCCACTGCCCTGCCCATCGCCAATACCCTGTGCCAGACCCTGCCACTGCGCCAGAGCGTTTCTCTGCTCCTCCTCTCCTTCTCGCATGCTCACATCGCCCTGCTGCCTCTCCAGAAGCCTCCTGAGAGGCGGATCAAAGAGCCTATCCCTCTGCTCCTGCCCTCCCATGCTCACATCCCCCATTCCCATGTCTCCCATACCAGCCATGCCGCCCGCGCCGCCCATGCCGCTCGCGCCGCCCATGCCGTCCGTGCCACCCATGCCGCCCGCGCACTTGGGAGATTCCGCCAGAATCAGATCCTCCATGTGTGCATGGCACGCTGTCGCTGCAGCTGCAGCTGCCAGAGCAGCAGACGCACGGGCACCACTAGGCACGATAGCACCGACACCAGCACGACCTTCAGCACCAGCATCACCAGCAATACCAGAATTGAAACCAAAACCGTGCCAAGGAGAAGCAGCAGGAGCAGCATCAGCAGCAGCAGCAGCAGCAGGGGACGTTTCAGGCTGCAAGGGAGCGAACTGAGACACATGTGCTGTGGGAGCAAAGGAGGGGCGACTACAGGGCGAGAGCGGGAGGAGAGAGGAGGAGGAGGGAAGGAAGGAGGCGGACGTGAGAGCCAAGACAGGAGCCCCCGGAGCAGTAGCTGTCGTCGCAGCCGCTGAAAAAGCAGCTGGAGCAGCAGTGGAAACCAGAGGAGGAGCAGCAGCACCGGCGGGAAGAGGCGGGGAGTGAACCGGGCGGAACGTTGGAGGAGCGAGAGTAAGCAGTGGAGAAGCAGCGGATTCAGGAGTGGGAGCAGACACAGCACTATGAGCAACCGCAGCAGCAGCCGCGGCAGCAGCTGCAGCGACAGCGGCAGTTGCAGCAGTGGCAGCACTAGCTGTAGAAGCATCAAGAGGTGAGCTTTCAGGTTCCAGGCGCGGCCTGGCAGCAGGAATCCTAAAACCCTTGCTAATATCAGCACCAGGGCCGCCTGTGCCGTGAACTCGGTTTGCACTGTCACTCCCACCACCGCCCCAACCACCAGCCCCAGCAGCAGCGGCGCCAGCAGTGGTAGAACTGCTGCAAGAGCTACCAGAGCCGCTGTTGTGACGGCTGAGCCTGTCCCCTTCAGGACTCAGCCTGCTCGCCTTGGGACTCCTCCCCCACTGCACCACCCTCCTCTGCAGGCCCCCACCCAAACGAGTTTCTGATATGGAAGCCTCAGCTGCAGCAGCTGCTGCTGCTACTGGTGGTGGCAGTGGGAGATGGTGCTGCGGTGACATGGGTTCTGCGAGGTGGAGGTGGGTTTGAGAGGATACAGTGGAGCTGGTGGGAGAGAGGCGCTTGCGCACCTGCCCGATTGACTGTGCCACCCTGCCAGCCTGCGAGGGAGAGAGGGGGTGAATGGGATGCGCATACATGAGTGAATAATTCCTTCTAGAGGCGAATTTAAAGAGCGAGAGCACAAGAGGGAGATGCACAAGGGGGGGGGGGTTGAGCGGAGTAATGTAATGGCAGAGTGGGTGCACAACGGGTGGGTGGTGGTGTCAGGCTGTGAAACGAACAAAGGGTTACTTACTTACACAGAACTAGATTGTTACCACGAAACGAAGGGCTAGAAAGAATACGAAGGTTACCAGGGACAGGACAGTTGAAGCAAAAGGTATGTGCCACGGGTGCTGCTCCTCCGCGTGAGCAGCCTCGCCCTCTGCATCAAACTCAAATGGTAATGCTGCTTCTCCTCCTCCCGGCCCCCCTTCTGCACTGAAATCAAATGGCACTGCTGTTTCTCCCTTCGGGAAATCAAACGCCATTGCTGCCGTTTCTCCCCCATCATCTCCTTCTCCCTGGAAGCCCAGAGCTCCCGAGCCGCGACCAACAAGGCCTGCATGCGGCACAGTCATATCAGCCTCATCTGTGTAGGCCAACGCAGGGAGACGCAGAGGTGTGGTGCTCGTGTGAGAGGGAGAACGCAGAGGAGCAGCAGAAAGCCGGGAGGCCACACGAGCCACACGGGAAGGAACACCTCCAGTTTCATTTCCGGTTGCAAAAATGGTCGCGTTTTCAGGAACCCGGATCGGTCGCAGGGGTGCAGTGGTCACATTCAGCTGCAGTGGCTTCAAGCCTTGTGCTAACTGCCAATGCTCTGCCTTATCCCCTGCCTTGTCCTCTGCTGCAGTTGGCGATGGGATGCTCTCAAGTGGCGTGGCTGGCGATGGGAAGCCATCAGGAGTGGAAGCAGCAGCACCAAGGGGAGAAGCAGCAGCAGCGCCAGGGGGAGCAGAAGCAACAGAATGAAAAGCAGCGGCAGCAGCGGCGGCACCAGGAGAAGCAGTCGACACAGGGCCAAGGGACGTGCTGACGTGCATGCTGCTGCTGCAGCTGCCGATGAACGCTTGAATCTGCTCCTTGAACGGCCGGCTGTCACTCGCCACTCCCACGATCATGCTCACATTTCCCTTGCTGTCAATTATGGGCCGATCTGTTATCATTGCGTCAAACACCTCGCCTGATTTCTTGGTGAGAGGGAAGTTGCCAGTCCAGCACTGTCCCTCCTGCAAAAAACAAGCACAAGGGGAGGTGGAAGGCTTAAAGTTTAACACACTCCTTGCCCTTGCAGTCAACGATGGGCCAGCGGGTGTGCCTTCATCGCGTCAAGTCAATCACCTCTCCTGACTTCTTGGCGAGAGGCAAGGGTGAAGTTGCCTGTCCAGCACAGTCCCACCTGCAAGCGTTGAGGAAAATGGGCTGGTCCCAGCCAGGTAAACTACTGCCATGGCCGGAGTAACCCGAGCGGACAAAAAAGCGACAAGGAGTGTAGCTGATTTGGTGGTCTGACTGACTGACCTGCAGGCGCGCAATGATTTGAAAGGCGGCGTGGCTCGTCTTCTTGCAGCACAGAAGCTCCACTATGTTCCGCCCCATAGCCTCCTCCTCTGTGTACCCAAACAATTTCTCCGACCCTGCGTTCCTGCAAATTGCAAGGGGAGGAAAAAAGGGGGGTTGGAACCAATGAAGTCTAATAATCACCCAACAGTGACATCAAGGAGGAATAGGAACCTACGATGATCACGAAGAGGGCATCAATTTGCCTGAAGACTCTTGACAAGTGACTAGGTGCAGTGCAGAATCGACCGCACTGAACCCTTCATCACCTACCACATGGTTATGATTCCATCGCCCAGGAAGCAGTAGATCGCTTGCTCCTCTGATTCCCAACCATGAATTCCCGAGGGGAACCGCCTGAGAGGTGAGCGTGACTGATTATCTGCGTCGCCCTCTGATGAACCATCCCAGTGACCGGGAAGGTTGAGCGGAAGCAGGTTCGTGGGAGCTGCTGAGACGACCCCGGATTGGCTCTGGGAGGCTGAGAAGGAGCTTAATCTGTCTGGGCTTGACCAACGGAGGGGCTTGAGGCCTGCTGCTGCCTGCTTGAGGCCTGCTGCTACCTGCTGACACTCTGCCTTGTCCTCTGCTGCAGTTTGCGATGGGAAGCCATTAGGAGTGGCAGCAGCAGTACCTAAGGAGGCAGTAGCACCAAGGTGAGCAGCAGCAACAACAGCAGCAGCAGAACCAGGCAGAGAAGAAGCAGCAGAATGAAAAGTGGCGGCGGCAGGAGACACAGTGGAGACAGGCCCAAGAGACGTGCTGACGTGCATGCTGCTGCTGCAGCCGCCGATAAACGCTTGAATCTGCTCCTTGAACGGGCGGCTGTCACTCGCCACACCCACGATCATGCTAACGTTGCCTTTGTTGTCTATTACAGGCCGATCCGTAATCATTGCGTCAAACACCTCGCCTGACTTCTTGGTAAGGGGGGAGTTCCCCGCCCAGCACTGTCCCCCCTGCAAGGAAAGAAGAGAGAGGAGCGACAGAAAGGAAAGTTATCACAGTAGTCTTGCCGTTAAGGATGGGCCAGTCGGTTATCATTGCGTCAAAAAATTGTCCCACTGCAGACGACTCACAGACCACACAATCATGGGACAGCCCCAGCGGTGTTATCAACGAGCCAGGGCAGGAGTGAAAACGCCACGACAAAATGCTCAACAAGGAGTGTAGTTGATAATATAGTTGATTCGGTAATCTGTCTGACTGACTGACCAGCAGGCGGGCAATGATTTGCGAGGCGGCGCGGCTCGACTGCTGGCAGCACAGCAGCTCTCCTAATTTCCGCCCGACGGCCTCCTCCTCTGTGTACCCAAACAATTTCTCCGACCCCGAATTCCTGAGACACCAGGCATGAAAGATAGAGTTAAGGGAGGAGAGGTCAATGACTCAACAACTGTGAGCCAAGGGGCACTAGACTAGAACAATCTGATCAATTCAAATCTGACTGAAAAAAGTTTGATACAGACACGGGAAAAAACAAATCCTAAACAAATCCCGTACGACATACCACATGACGATGGTGCCATCAGGCCTGAAGACGTAGATACCTTGGTTCCCAGAATCCCAACCATGGATGTTCGAGCGGAACCGTACTGGACCACACTGGACCCATCACGTACCACATGACGATGGTGCCATCAGGCCTGAAGACGTAGATGGCTTGGTCCTCGGAATCCCAGCCATGGATTCCCGAGGGGAATCGCCTGAGGGGTGAGTGAGCGTCGCTGTCTGATGAGCCATTCTCTGATGAACCGATTGATATTTCTCTTGGAAGGCTCAGCGGACGCAGGTTCCTGAAAGCTGGAGAGACGACCGCAGACTGGCTCTGGGAGGCTGAGAAAGAGCCTGATCTGTCCGGGCTTGACCAACGAATGGGATGAGCAGAATTCTTGGGGATGTCCGCGTCCTGCAAGTGTGCAGTATTGCGTGAAACAGGTTTCAAGAAATGATCAGGTAGTGTAGTCAGGCGTAGTGAATATGATGATCATGATGTGTCAAGATCAACTCGGTTAAATGAGCGTACCTCGTTACTCTGCTTCCATTTTTCGCGCAGCTGCTCCTTCACCAACTGAATCTTGGTCATCTGGTGCTTCAGCGACGCATGGCAAACCTCCAAATCCGCAATTGCCGCCTCCATGGATGTATCTCCTCCAACTAATGTAACGTGTGGAGGACTCAACGGCTGATGACAACGCATAACCATAGTTCGGGAACAAGATACGAGAGTGTAACACGGTTTAGCATGAGCTGAAAGAAACACCGCGGCGAGCTCACGGAAGAAGACTACAGGTCAGAATCTGGGGCCGGATGCTTTCAATAACTAACGAAATCGCTACCAACAGTAACTCTAGGCCTCAGAGATTTGAATTTGAGGGCTTGTCCGAGACTTGAACCGAGGCGAAAGAGTAACTCGTCTTGGAATCCTCCTCTCAGTTTATTATGAAACCGATTCTTCACAATCGGCCTGTCTGGGAAACCACGGGGTAATCAACCGCGAGGCAGCAGGCGGAGAAAGCTAGTATCCCCCTCGATTTCCGGCCACAATTCAGGTCCGAAAGCTGCTTATCCGAGGCCGTCGTGGCTAGAAAACCGCCCAATGGATTCGCTAAAATCGCTCCGAACCGACAGCGGTCTCTTCTCCAGACGGGGGAACCAGACCATTTGTCTGTCCAGCTGGAAGCTGGTTTGTCCGCAAGAGGCGGAATCATATTAGATCAGCCCACCAGATGACTGGCGACTCGGGATGCGGGCTGGCATTTCCTCTTTCCTGAGAACTTTCTAGTGTGTGAACCACGTGATTTCTACGTCCTGGATATTTCTCGGACAGCACAACGCTGTGCGAGGATTTCACCACGGAGAGCCACGTGATAAGAACAGCCACCTGGGGTTCATCCAATTGAAGAGCGTGCCGTGCTTCCCCTAACGCGAAATCAAGTCGGAATGTCAAGCTCAGCTTTTCAGCAGCAGAGTTTGCCGCCCAACTAATGCTCTCTGCGTGCATGATACAGGCTGGATCATCTTCTTGCTGACTCAGGAACTTCATGACTCGTTGCTCTCGACGGAAGCAAAAGCCACTGCAGCCGCTGCAGTGCATATCAGAAGAGATCTGCCTGCCAAACAAAATGGCTGGTGAAGGCATGACTGTAAGTTCGCCGCTCAGGCGTCCGTGCCAGAAGCTTCGGCGCGTCCGATGACTTGTGGACAGGATGGAAGGCTATTTGACGCATGACGGCGTGATGATATGTCGCGTGGTCCTATTCTTGGAAGAAATGCGCGTGATACGCTGTGGATTTGACCCCACATGACGGACGTGGTCCCCAGCTGTTCCTGTTCGAAGAGGGCAGCAGTTCCCTGGGGCTGTATAATCTACGGGACATAGCTCCTCGGGGTTGCCGACCTGAAGATGGACTTGAAACACCAGCTGGAAGAGGGTTTTTATTGCAGGCGCCTTTTCCATGTCGCAATGCAGAGGATTCAATGACATCAGCATTGAGTTATTCACACACTCACAAATTCAGCTGCCAAATGTACCTAAATCCCTCGTAATGGTTGACCTTGATTAGGATATATAGATTCATAGCATTCATTTGGTTGATAAACTCTCTGTATATGTTATGAGTTGTAAAAGAGAGTGCGCAGTTAAACGAATAACGAGGCTGTGACTGAATGAACTGAGAATACAATGAATGCACTGACTAATGTAGGGCTAGCCTAGCTGGGAGGAAACCTCGGGAGACGAGGTTGGGTGCAAGTTTGGCGATGGAAGTGCCGAAGGCGACGCGAGGAGCCTCGGCAGCGTTGAAATCGGCCGAACGTGCGAACTCCGAAAATCGGGTTGTACGCGAAGCAGTCAACCCCGATAAGGAATTCGGGAAAATTCCTTACACTACCCCCCCCTGAGAAAGTATGAACGAGAATGAATGAACTATGAATGAAATGGGTACAAGTACTAACCCTAATTGGGTTGTACCCCCTATGGGATACCCCAATATAGCCTACACAGAAGTATAAGCTATATATGTTCTGACACACCCCATAAGCAAAGTGGGGGAGAACAAGGGGTCACAAGACCAGTCAAGCAAAGTAAAGCAAGCTCAGGGTGGATCACAAATTCACGACACAGTCCGAGCACAAGAGTAAGGCCACAAGGCCAGTTCACATGCAAGATCATATATATAAAGGAAAACAAGCAAGTGCAGGTATAGAAAGAGGACAGTACAAACAAGATCAAGAAGTGAGCAAGTGAGGCCAGGTAGGCACAAGACCTAGCAAAGTACAGAAGCGTTGATGATCACAAGGCAGAAGGGCCTTGGTGAAGATACCAGCAGTGAGGGCCTCAAAGGCCACGTAGGTGAGGCACAAGACCAGTCAAGCAAAGCAAAGCAAAGCAAGCTCATGGTGGATCACAAAGTCACCACACATTCCGAGCACAAGTTCAAGGCCACAAGGCCAATTCACATGCAGGATTACATATATATATATATATATATATATATAGCTAGACAAGCAAGAGCAGGTATATATATATGTAACAGAACAAGCAAGGTCAAAAGGTGAGTAAGTGAGGCAAGACAGTGACAAGACCCAGCTGAGTGCAGAAGCGCTGATGATCACAAGGCACAAGTGCCTTGGTGAAAACATCAGCAGTGTTGGCCTCAGAGGCCACGTACGCAAGCCGCAACTGTCCACGCTGCTGTAGCTCACGAGCAAGGAAGTAGCGGAGAGAAATGTGCTTCGTTCTATGCTCCAGTCGCTGCTCTTGACACAAGGCCAGCATGGCCTTGTTGTCTATGTACAGAACTGGAGGAGAACGAGGCGGCTCTCCAAGGTCGGTCAGCAGGTAGGTGAGCCAGCAAAGCTCCTGTGAAGCCATGGCCCCGGCGTAGATCTCAGCCTCACAACTGGAGCCGAGAACAGAAGACGAGCGAGTAGCCCGCCACGAGACAGAGCCGGAACCAAGACTGAAGGTGTAACCCTGTGACAACCGCTGTGTAGCCTGGTCGTCAGCCCAGGAAGCGTCTGCGTGCCCAGTGAGGACCACTGGACTGCGCCCTCCAAGCACTAGCCCCATGCCCGATTAACTGCACAAGTAGCGCAACACCCTCTTCGCTGCAGCCATGTGCTCTGGTCGGTGTCTCTCAGGAGCAACATAGCGTGCGAGAATGCTAAGAGGGTATGCAAGGTCAGGTCGAGTGCAGTTCATCAGGTACATGAGGCAGCCAACAAGCTCTGGATACGGGCCACTCGACTCTACGGACTCATCCGAAGGCAGAGCTGAGAGCGAGTGGCGAGTAGGAAGAGGAGTGGCCTGAGGCGAGGAGTACGTGAAGCCGAAGCGCTGAAGGACCTGCTGCACCATGTGTGACTGAGTCAGGGTAATGGTGCGGCGTGCTCTGTCCCGGGTGATCTGCAAGCCAAGGTAGCTGCGCAGTTCACCCATGTCTGTGCACGTGTGTCTCTTCTGCATCTCGGACTTCACGTAGGCGAGTCCAGCAGTGTCAGCTGTGGCAAAGACCAAGTCGTCGACGTACACGAGGATGTAGAAAGGAGGCAGAGAAGTGTCGGTGCGCAGAAACAGCGACGGGTCGGCAGTAGAAGGGGCAAACCCAAGAGCCGCATGTGTACTCCTCAGTGTGTCGTGCCACTCACGGGGCGCCTGGCGGAGAGCGTAGACTGGACGCCGGAGACTCCACTGGATACCAGGAGGGAACGACCAAGTGAAGCTAGGTGGGCGACGCAGCCAGATCTCATTGTGCAGGCTGCCCTGCAGGAAAGCTGTGCTGAAGTCGCGAGAGTGCAGCTCGTAGTCACGGTGAGCAGCAACGTGCAGCAGTACCCGAAGAGTGGTCATCTTCTGGGTGGGAGAGAAGATCTGAAAGTAGTCAACTCCCTG